CCGGCTAACAACAACCGCTCAGCCCAGCTGCGGCGCCGCGCCCGCGCGTCCGTGGTCCGAGCTGCTGCCGCCGCCGGCCGGCTGTGCGGGCTGTGCTTCCTTTCGTTGCTCCCGGCAACCGGCCCGCGACGCCCGCTGGTTCAATAGCAGGCATGGCGTCCGTGAGGGGACGCCTGCTCGATGCGCTCGACGCCTCCACGGCGCCCCGTCGTCCTGAGCCGCGCTTGCTGCACCGACGGCCGTGCGGATGCGACGTGCCGGGAGCGGGCGTGCCCCGGGCCCGCGCGCCTCGGCGGCCAGAGTCAAAGTCGCCTTATCGTCCCGGAGGTCGGCGAGCTCCGCGAGGCCCACGGGAGCCGGCGCCGGCCGCCACGGGGACCTGCTCATGGGCCTGGCGCACCAGGTCGTCAGGGAGTGCGCCTGCAAGGGGATTGAGGTCGCTCCCCAACTGGCGCTGGAGGCGGTGAGTACTGTTTTCGACCGTTTCCTTCACCTATCGGAGTTCGGAGGGAAAACCTAACCACAAACGGAAACAGTTGTGCCTACTGCAAGTGAACCCGGAGAACACCCGCCAGGGGTCCGTAAATGTCGTCGGCGAGGCGCTGCCGCCCCAGGAACGCCCCCTGCTCGCGGCCTGCATCCGCTTCCTGCAGGACAGGAGCGCGCCGGGCCTGGCGGCCACCAGGATGAGGATCGCTTTCCGTCGGAAGTACAAGACGCCTGGTGAGAGGACAAGACAGGCCCGTCCTTAGGGTACATTTTTGTTGTTTTGTTTTCGGCGATCTACTGGCAGCTTCCCTTACAGAGGACATCGCCGCGGAGCACGCGCGCGGCACCGAGGCCAGAGTGGCGCCCCTGCTCGCCGAGGTCCTGGAGGATGCCCACGACGAGCTGCCCGCGGCCGCGAGCCCTCCGGCCGCCGCGCCACCCTCGCCCGTCACCGCCAAGCTGGCCAAGGTCAGCAAGAAGGCCCTCTCGGCCCGGGACGAGCGCGCCGACAAGGAGCGCCTCTACGCCAGCGTCGTGGCCGCGGCCGTGCTGCGCTCCGGCCTCGGCAGCCCGGCCGACCCTGCCGTCATCAAGGAGGCCAACGGTACGGTACAGCAGCGGCACGTGTGGCTCACTCCAGGGAGTGCTTCACTAAATTTTTTTTTTGATGTTTACATCAATTTAAAAATCAGAAAACATATCAAA